CCTCTCCAATCCGGGAGTTTCTGTCTGTCTTTGCAATCATATGAGCGAATTGTCTGAGACCCCCAACCCAGTTTGATTTGTTGCTCACAGAATAATATAGGCATTTTTTTCTTTGCTCTATTGGTGGAGATTTCCTGGAAGTTTTAGGATATCTTCCCTTTAATTTTTCCTAGACACTCTGATTTTACTTATGTCTCTCACCTTTGCTTTCCCTCCATCTCCAACCGCAACAGTAACTTGCTCTGGGCTCACTTGGCTCTAGTTTCTAGGAGATCCGTCTGCCACCAGAACTATGATTCCCAGAATTCCTGGTGCTCCCTGCGCTCTAGGCTTCCGCTTTCGGTCCTGGGGCTGCCATCAGAACTATGATTCCCAAGATTCCTGGTGCTCCTCTCCCCAGAACTATGATTCCCAGCATTCCTGGTGCTCCCCTCCCTCTTGGCTTCCACTTCTATTCCCAGAATTCCTGGTGCTTCCAATGCTCTGGGTTTTCCCCGACCGAGGGAGCCATGTCCCTCCAAGCCTCTGGCTCTCCTGCTCTGCTCTCTGTCCGGTGACCGGGAGAGCCACATCCCCCTAAGGGAGAGACCAAGGGAGCGACCGAGGGGGCCATGTCCCCCCAAGCTGCTGGCTCTCCCACTGTGCTCTGTGTATGCAAATTATCCACCATCATTGTTGGGTTAATTTGCATACTCAATCCTCATTGGCTGGTGGGCATGGCTTGTGGGTGTGGCTTGAGCATAGCAGAGGGATGGTTAATTTGCATGTTTTTCTTTTATTATATAGGATATCAATATTAAGGCACCTCCTTGCTACTTCTCCCTGTTTAATTTTTATCTTTAATGGCACTTATCTATATCTTCCGAGTATTTTCTTATACCATTCTCCTAGTCTGAACTCTAAGGTACATCTGTTGCATATTCTCCCTGCTTCTTTCATGAACTTCCATTGTCTTCAATATACCCTGTACATGTTTCTTCAAATTTTTGTTTAAAGCCCTTCTAGTACAAGACCCCATATTGTACTTTTTGTTTTTGTGAACAGATGTACTAAAGAGAAGAATAAATATGTGCATTTAAACATATCAAATTAATCTTTCATTATCTCAGCCTCCTCATTTATAACATGTGATATTTAAATCATAATGTTGCTTTGGGTAATAAATTTATGTAGTTAAATATTAAAAATAATAAATTAAAACATAGAAGTGATTTTTAGAGGTATTTACTTTTCCACCACTTATATAATACTGAATTATTAGTAATATCAGCCTAAATAAATTATAAATTATTTTAGATACACAATATTTTCAGAGTATTTTTGCCTAACTCTTAAGCCTCTTGGCCCAGAGTTCTTCACTTAGGGACTTTTATAAAAATATGTATTGGCTAATTATTTTTATTTAGTAAATATAGTATAATTTGTATATTCCCAGGACAACAGGAATAAATCAATAGAAATTAAATAAGACAAATTTATTTGAGAACTTTATGACTCTAACAAAGATTATAAAGAAAACATAATACAAAAATATTTTATTTGGTTTTAGCAATTTCAACTTATATATGTCTATTTTTATGTTTATGTAATGATTTGGACAGATACTAGTAGACATAGTTTCCTAATTCTGAGTTTTATAAAAAATATTCCTGACTGTAGATTTATGAAAATACACTGATATAAAAAACTAAGCTATGTAGATGAAACTTTGGGATAAATTATGTCCATGTTATTCCCAAGTTATATAAACAATAACCAAATGTAACTTTGCAATTTCCCAATCATGTAAATAATTGTGGATAGAATATGCATATATAATCTCTCTCTCTCTCTCTCTCTCTA